CTCAAACAATACATTCTCAGTCTAAAATTTGGTAATTTGAGCATTTTATTGCAACTTTTTTAGAAAAAAAAAAAGTAAAATAATATAAAATTAAAAATTACCAAAATAATGTTATGAGACATGCATTAGATGGGTGAGTGTTCAAGTCGCATAATAACTTATGCATATTTGGGCATTCAATGAATCAGTATTTATCAAGTGGTGCAAGCGAAATTTATCATGGTAAATTTGTTACAATTTAACCTTGGCTAAATTTTGTAATCATGCATGACTGATCATGCTGCCAACTCATGCATGATTTGTTAACATGCATAATTATATACTCTCTTTTGTAAATATTAATATTTGTCCGTTTTTTATTTCTTATTTAATTTAATATTTTTTTCCTTTAACAAAAAGAAAAAAGCAACAAGCAATATTACGTAAAGGAGAGGAGGACAACGACAAGTCTTGGATACGGGGATCAAATAATCAGGTACCCATCTTGCTGTAAGCTATAATGGCTTTCCCACTTATTCGGTTTTGCTTTTGTCCAGTGCGAGAACTTGTCTTGAATACATATATTATATCATTCCAAAAACTATTGATGTTCGAGCACACACATGAATCTTGTATTTATATGTTTAACTCTCTCCGTGATAATAATAATAATAATAAGAATTTATTTACGAGAATAATTTAGTCGTGACAGTTTGTTAACAGTACCCACAGATTTTTATGGTCATTTTAGCTGTAATAACTTGATAATCCATAACTTTTTGAATTTATTAAAATTTGGTAATAATAAAACTCTAACATTAAAATTATTATATAGGGGTGATTTAGCTATGACGGCTTATTGACTTTGCTTGTTTTTTTGTTCAAAATCATTTTATCCGTGACAATTTGATAATCTGAAACTTTCAAATTTGAAACTTCCAAATAAATTTTCAAAATTAAAATCAATCAACACACATATATTCTCTACAAAATGACGTAGCTTTGAGTTTTCTATTACACTGAGAAATACATCGGAGCAGTACCTTCTCCGTCAAGCACAAAATAAAATTTTCAAATTTTTTTTTGTCTTTAATCAATTTTATTTAATTCTTCGAAGTGAAATAAATATTTAAAATTTTATCAACAATAATTAATATAAGGTAACCATTTTTTAAAACTTACGGTGGGTGCTTACATCTTCACTAACTCCCAAATTCAATTTCTATTTCAAAAATCAGTTTTCTCAAACAAAAAAGATTTTTCTAATATTTTTTTAAATAAACCTTGGTTGCAACACCATTATTTTTAAACTTCCAAGTTTTTTTTCGCCATCGCGTCGAAATCTGATTGGAACACCCTTGCATAACTTGAACATGCATTCCCTCAATGCACATCTCATACAAACGAAGAGTCTGTATACAGTAACTACCAACAATATGTTATTTCTGAATTCGATAAAACCGTTCCATACAACAAACATCCCTTTTATAGTTGTTTACAAGCCACGTTGGCATTACCCACTACCTTTATTAATTTTCTCCAACTGTTAACAACTCGTAACTATACAAAGCTATTGGGCTTATACCGTAAACTATACTACAAGCGCCATTGGACTTATAGGACAAAGTCCTTGACCCATGTTGGACCACCCCTTAATCTAACTTCCCTTCCTGCTATCGTATCAACATCTTATTGTATTATTTTGATAAATATTATTCTGATCAATTTTTTATATTATATATTATTTTAGTATTTTCTTAAAAAAATTGCATTCAAATGATAAAAAATCTCTAAAACTAACATCGTATTTGGACTGCCCAAGAAGGAAACCTTTACCAGATTAAATGTTCAGAACTTTTGTTTTAATTTTTCATGAAGATGCCAATTGCCAGCATAACATAAATGTATCTTCGAATGAATTAAAATTTTAAGAAGGGAATAAATCTAGTCTTATTTTAGTTCTAATAAATGATTTAATGTTATATGTACCCAAAAAAAATGTATAAATATTTTTCTACAACTATGAGATTTTAGATGGTGTCCAAAACTCGTCCTAGTCCTAGAATCTTTCTGAAGCAATGGCTAATGTGATGGCAAAAAAATTAATTTAATGCTTTTTAATAAGAAGAAGGTTATACTTACAACTTTTTTTTTTACAACCTCTTACAATCATATCTTAACACTGTTGATTTCCGTCAATCAACGGTTATTATTTTTACAAATTAAACTCATTAATTAATTATTAATTCACAATAAATGATAACCGTTGATTGGCAGAAATCAACAGTGTTAAGATATGATTGTAAGATGTAAAAAAAAAGTTGTAAGTATAACATTTCTCTTTTAATAAATTAATTACGCATTTATTACAATTTTGAAAATAATTGCACAATATGACGCCCAATTTGAGCGTTACTAAAGACGCCTAAATTGAGCGTTACTCAAAAAGCAATCACGCCTAATTTAGGCGTCACTTATCAGGTATTGACATGTGTCATATTTTTTTTCCAAAAAACAATAATTTAATCATAAAACTTCTGAAGGGCATAACATTTGACTCGCGTATCCAAATCAGATAATTCTTTTTTTGATTCCACATAAATTTTTGAGATTTACGCAATGACATCTCATTTGATATATTTTATTTCTCAAAAACATAATTTAAATTTAAATCAGGTAATCCTTCTTCCTTAGAGATTTAGAATATTTATTTAATTATTTCCTTTATTAATACAGATTTTTTAAATTGATTTTTGAGTTTAAATCACAAATCAAATCTTTATTTTTTTTCCTTATTAATAATAATTGTTATTTTTTTAATTTAAATCACACATCAAATCTTGATTTATTTTTTATATTAAATCACAAACTCAGAACTCAGAGGCTTCTGAGTTTAAAAATGTGACACGTGTCAACAACTGACACGTCACCAATGACGTATAAATTGGGTTTCAATCAAGATGCAATCACGCTTAATTTAGGTAATTTTATTTTTGAAAAACATTCATAAGCCATAATTAATTTCAGACCACAATTAATAATTCAGAAGCTTATAGCATTAATCATTAATTTTAAAAATAATATCTTTCTTCCTTTACAGATTTAGAATATTTATTTAATTATTTCCTTTATTAATACAGATTTTTCAAATTGATTTTTTAGTTTAAATCACAAATCAAATCTTTATTTTGTTTTCCTTATTAATAATATTTTATTTATTTTAAATCACAAACAAAAAAATTTTATAATAAAAAAATTAATATAAAAAAATTTAAATCACAAATCAAAATTTTATTTATTTTTTTATATTAAATCACAAATTCAGAACTCAGAGACTTCTGGGTTTAACCGCTCTTATAATACCATTCTTGCAAATTTAAATTGTTTTTGTGAGAAATAAAATATATCAAATAAGATGTCATTGCGTAGATCTCGAAAAATTGTGTGAAATAAAAAAAATAATTACCTGATTTGGATACGCGAGTCAAAAGTTATGGCCTTCAGAAGTTTTATGATTAAATTATTATTATTTTGAAAAAAAATATGACACGTGTCAACACTTGATGAGTGACGCCTAAATTAGGCGTGATTACCTCTTGAGTGACGCCCAATTTAGGCGTCTTTGGTGACTCCCAAATTATGCGTCATATTATGCAATAAATCTGTAATTATTTTCAAAACTGTAATAAATGCGTAATTAATTTATTAAAAAACATTAACTTAATTTTTTTCCCTCTAGTATAATTAATAACTTGTTATAAACTGTTTTTTTAAGCAACTTTATTATTATTCTTTTTTAAAACAGAAAAATATTTCTGCAGTTAATGCAGATAAGTTATCTGCAGTTACTTCTAAAACGACGTCATTTTGGGATTGAAATATTAAAAAATTATAATTATAAATATTATAATAATCCTGAAATAAATTAAAATTACAAAAACACCATGATTTCCGTTCCAAAACGATGTCGTATTGGGCTTACTGCAGATAACTTATCTATATTAAGTGTAGAAAAAGCGAACTCTTTTTAAAATATCATTAAACATTACAAATTTTTTATTTTTTTCTTAAATTCGATGGAAGAAATCCATATATACTTGATACTTAACTAAATATTTGGATAATATTATTTCAAAATTAAAATTACACATCCTGTTTACAAAAAAAAAAATTACACATCCTCATGACCTCATAGTAAATTTCAAAGTCATAATTTATAAATGAATCAACAATGGAAGAGGCTTACACATAAACAAAAAACAAAAAAATATTGACAAATGGACAGTAACATGTATTTCCAACTAAACAACTTGCAAGTTTTTTTTTTTTTTTTTTTTATGAAAAACAACTTGCAAGTTTTACAAAGACCAACAACCGTAAGATGAACTGATATATCTCCCCCAAAAATTTGTCATGTGAAATAATAACCCAAAATGAAGAAGGAAGGGAGGGGGAATAGGTCCTCCAACCATATCCCCAATGAACTAACACTAAATGGTTAGCGTCTTATCCACGTTAAGCCACCCTAGCTAACTGCAAGCCGAAAGCAACAACTTTTCGGACCAAAGAATGGATCAAAATAGCTAGCTGGCTCAAGGTGTTGGATGGTTCCATGCTTCGGCCTTTGTGCATACACTAAATGTTGGGCTGGATCATAGATCCTATTCAAAAAGCTCTACACATAAAATGTAACCACAGGCAAATAAAACTTCATGAAAGGAAAATTAAACAATAAGTAGCTCCATTTCTTCAACTTATTTTATAACTTCCCTTAAATCTTGACAAAGTTCAATTTTTTATCATATTTTAAGAACAAATTACTATATAACATTACTCTAGTATAATTAATTACTTCTTATAAACTGTTTTTTTTTTAACAACTTTATTATTATTCCTTTTTAAAATATTATCAAACATTACAAATTGTTTATTTTTGGTTAACTTCAAGAAATTCATACTTGATACTTCAACTAAATATCTGGATAATATTATTTCAAAATTAAAATTACACATCCTCATAGTAAATTTCAAAGTCATAATTTATAAATGAATCAACAATGAAAGAGGCTTACACCAAAACAAAAAACAAAAAAATATTGACAAGTGGCCACTGGCCAGCAACATAGCATCAAATTGTTACTTGTAAGAATTGACCAATGAATTTCTAAATGTACAGTAACATGTATTTTCAACTAAATAACTTGCAAGTTCTACAAAGACCAACAACGGTAAGATGAACTGATCTATCTCCCCCAAAAATTTGTCATGTGAAATATAAAACTCATAACCCAAAATGGAAGGGGCGAAAAAATAGGTCCTCCAACCATATCCCCAAGGAACTAACACTAAATGGTTAGCATCCTATCCACGTTAGGCCACCCTAACTGCAATGCCAGTTTACCTCTCTACTCAATATCTGCTGAAATTTACACCTCTCATCATATCATATGGGAAACCAAGATGGGGGCCGAAAGCAACATCTTTTCGGACCAAAGAATGGATCAAAATAGCTAGCTGGCTCAAGGTGTTGAATAATTGGAAAATAGATGCAATAAATTATCCAGTGTTTCATGAGGAAATTTCCTAGCAAATAGGTAACATGGCTTCTGAATCCCATTCCATAAGCAAGGCCAACTTTGCACTTCTCTCTACAGAAAAACAAGATCATTCGTCAAACTGGTTAATTCATTCTCAATAAATCAGATCACTAAAGCTCTCATGTAGCATACCTTCTCATCACTTGTTACGTGAACACTCACATCAACGGACTGCAAACATAACACTTATCGTGAATATCCATGTAAATGAACTTTAAAAACACATTGAAAAGGTTGACAGAGGCCACTATTTACTATCCCAACTGCTTTTAAGGAAATTTCTTTAAAATTTTCTTCTAATAAGTTACCATTTAAAGTCAGTTAGCATTCAATATTTAGATTTCAGAAGACATAAACCTCTCTCTTTCCTCCACCTAGTTGTTGTAAAAAAGAATGAATATGAATTGTAGTACAAGTTCCAGTTTTAGCAGAACTATACTGTGATATTCTTCAAAAGCTTGTAAGTAACATCATGAGCCCCATACGATTTTGGATGCCATTTTCTCTCAGACCAGTCAACATGAGTTAGTGACCAGTTTGCAATTCCACCAGGATCAACAATCTAAACCAGATGAATAAGCTAATTAGCTGAACAATTACAATAGTTAAAGCAGAAGAACTTCATTACAATTGATATTCTAATTCTAACCTGGAAGAAGGTCGGCAAGTAATGCTCGTCAGCAATGCAATTTTTCCCATCCAAACCAGGCTGTGATATTAAGAAATTTCACATTAATATTGAGTCCATAGTTCAATGGATGTATGGCTAGATATAGATATTTGCACAACAGCTGTATGTTGCCTAGCACGATAAGGTGTTTGTGAATTTAAAATTCTGAATTATCGTACGGAACTAGATGATCCAATCACCTTAATCATGTAACCACAACCCCAGAACACAAGATAACTAGATATATAAGATCATTTGCATGTCAGCTCTATGTTGCCTAGAACAATAAGGAGTCTATTTTATAGTTTGGACAGCAGTATATATACATATTTTGGAGAAAAATAATTAAACAAAAAGAACATGAAAATTAAAGTAACAAAACAATAACATTCATATATTGCTTATAAAAAATACGAGTAAGCATATGCAAGAGGCACATAATCATAAACCCAGAATCTTGAACCTCACAAAATAAAATACTAAATCTGTTGGCTTCATAACTAGGACAATTTAAAGCAGAACTAAATTATTTAAAATCTTAAACAAAATTGCTTCAAAATTTTAATGGTAAAAATATACAAAATCAATTTCACCTGACAGTAAGCCTGGAATTTTGAGTAATACAGGCTATCAGCAATAACTATAATAGCATGCTGCCGCTTCAAAGAAAACCACTGCACAAGAAGTTGAAAAATAAGATAAGAGACATATCTAAATGTGTGTGTACACGCATGCGCCTGTAGGTGTGTGTGTATCAAAGGAATAGGTGTGTAGTGATATAGAATAACAGTAGATGCCGATTGGGCTACCAAAAGATATAGAGTGAGGGATTTCACCCAAGAACAAGGAACTATTTATCTTATTGACAATTTATTCATCACAATGTTTTCATGATCAAAGACTCAATTACCACCGTGTGTTACAACTAATATACCAATAAAGCTTATTGACATAAACCACACAAAAAGGTTGTGGAACAATGACAACTTCCATTTATCCAGTTGGTACTGGAAAAACGGCAATTTTAATGCAAAGTAGTCTAAATACTTGATCAAATTTCGCATTCTTTGTAAAATAATAAGAAAAGTTTCTATTTAAAATGTTGAATGCTCAGCTCCAACATGACTTTATCGAGAATATACCTGTGCACCCTTTCTAAAGTCCTTCACCTCAACTTCAGGTAACATGTGATCTGAATATCTGCCATTCCCATGAGGACCAGGATCTTTGAAGCTAATAAGAAAAAGGAATAGTTCACATTAGTAAAGGACGTTGAATTGGCAGTAGAAAGCAGAAAGAAGAGTTATCAATTCAATAAAAACCCGCACCCACTTAATATTGTTTGACATACCAGTCTACAAAGCTGATATTTGTATGCATCAAATAGTCGTAGATATACTCAAAATGATACAGAGGCACACAGCTGCAGAAACAATATAAAAAAATCAGAAATTAATACGACCAATAAAACTAATTAATCAGCAAGAACAAAATTAAAAGCAATCTCGTAACCCATTTACCTATCAGAAAGTAAAACAAATTGATGGTTGTCTGGATCTTGAAGGGCATTTGCCAATAGCCTTCTCTCTGCATCAACCATAGAAATTTTCCCCCACACCACCTGTAACAAGACAATTTCTGATTACAAGAAAAATATTGGCATCTCAAATGGCCTGGCTATGTGGCTACTAGTTGAACTAGTCTAGTTCTCCTTTCTGCTCTGTATTAAATAAAATGTCTATGATGTAGAGCTATTACAGCATTATATTTCCAAACTCATGCATTAAATAATTACAGTATCATTTAATCCCTAAAGCCAACAATAATATTCTATTTTCATACAATCAAAAGAAATGAGTCCAACACAAGTGGAAAAAACATTGTCACAAATGATAAGACAACATATATTTAAACACACAAGACAGTACAAATCAAAAACGATAATTAACAGAATAATAACAAGTCTACATGTACCTGGTCACTGCGTATATCCCGATTAACAAAATAACGGCTCTCATGAACTGGTTTAGTCTTGGATGCATGCACATAAACAGAGAACTTTCCTTCATGACCCTGCCAAAAAGGAGGAGAGCATCTTCCAGGTAAATGCACATCACTAGACGAACAGGATTCAGAAGCAAAGGAACCCAAGTCTCAACCAATGAAATTACACAAACAAACTAAAGGGTGTTCATTCATAACAATAAAATTATCAAGAGTCTATTAACAAAACATATTTCACATCTTGTGTTGTATATCTATGCCAAAAGAAATTTTAAGGGTCTATTACTAAACATTAATAGCACTTTGAAGTAAGTGCCCAAGGCTGTAGGGGACATCATTGTCACAACTACTTCCAAGAACAATTCTTATCCAACGGGGGAATGAGAATGAGAGTCATGGTGGAAGAACTAGCAATATCTACCACATTATTAATTGCTTCCAAATGCAATGTTGTACAAAACTGAATTGATATCATGGACCGCTCTAATTAGTTAAATTATGCAACAGTTCCCTTCGCTCATCATTCCCAAAAAGCAAGAGAGATCACTAACAATTCTTCTGCAAAGCATCAGTGCCAACTAAGGGTATAATAAGCAGCTCCTCTTGTTAACCATTCCAATACAATTTTCTGAGAGAAGGAATGAAATTCTCAAAGTTCCCAAGTCCCAACAACTTGATGCTTCTATTACCAAGCACTTCTAATACAAGAATATCATCAAAGACTAACAAAGGAGTTCCAATCATAGACGAATTCTTATTTTCAATTAACCAAGCAACAAGCCATTTATCTTAATGATAAAAGAAATGCAGAATATCAACTAACTACACTATTAAACAGGTTATCTTCTATGTGATTATACGATTTAAAAGTGTCACAAATATATTGCAAAAATGAGCATTAACTGTTTTTAGAAAGTGATAAACAATAACTTGAACATATTAAAATATACAAGTAATAAAATCTTACTTGGAAAAACTTGTCCCATAATTTTTCAAGTGGCAGAGAACCAGGTGACAAAAACATGAAGGCAATTTTTGGATTCTTTGAAACAATTGGTGGCGAGTTCAAGATATCATTGATTACGACACGCGATGCAATCTCCTCATCCGTGTATTCTCTTGCAGGAGTAGGTGGAAGCCAATCAACAAAACTGTTGCACCCTCTAGAAGAGAAGACATAACAGGCTGAACTGTTTTGTGGTGGGTAGATATAAGCACATATTAGAAAGACACACACAAATAACACCAAGATAATAATCCACATTGGCTTCTTCATGGGAGGACGGTGGTGTCGAGAACTAGGCAATATGTGCATATCACCCATGGTTAGCCGCCAAACTTTTTCTGTCTTCATCTAAGCAAAAGCATCACAATTTTCACCTCGAATTAATCTCCTTTTCATCCATATTCACCATCCCTCGAACAAACAGAAACAAAGTGCAGATAGCCTGCAATGAACCTCAAATAGATTGATGCAGAGAAATCTGAAAAACAAAAAAGCATCCTTTTTAATCCACTCAATTTTATACTTAAACCCATGTTCATAATAATGTCATTGAAAGAGAGACAGACAACAACGACCCCAATATCATATCCACCTAACCTTTCTAGATTTAGTAAATATGTACCAACACGCTCAGAAACGCTCCAGAGATAATAACACAAAACATGCAAGAACTTGAGCAATTAATTAACAACACTACAGGACCAATCAATTCAAAGTTCTGGGGTATCCCAACAGTTATAACAACCTTAAAACATATCTTTCCCCAACGTTAGACAAAAAAAAAATTCGAAAGTTTAGTTCAAGATTCAAATAAATAGTCATACCCGTCTATCCAATCCAACCACCAACCGGTCAAAATCAAAGAGATATCTAAGCCCCTACGTTTGGTGAACAAAGAAGAACTAAAAACTAAAAAAATCTCACCTAATTTATAAAGCAAAAAATAAAATAAAATAAGGAAATTGTTTTCTCTGTGACTGCTTTGTTTATCTTTCCTTAGACTCCATCCCCCACCCCCAACAATTAAGAGACAATAATTTCAAATCAGAAAGTCTCTCTCTTTTTCTCTCTGTGAGTGAGAGAGAGAGGCAAAGTAAGGAATGAGAGATAGGTAGTACCTGGAATGGAAGGTTGAGATGAAGCCAAGGGAAGGAAGATCAAAGATTCATGTAAATCAAATGTAATGATTGGAATAGAAAGATCTAGGGCAAATGGAACAATCACAACACGCAGAGAGTGTTTTTTTTTTTTTTGTGTGTGTGTGATGATGGGATAGGAATAATCCCTTTAAATTTGAATAAGACCAATCAGTTTTTTTTATTCTGGACTCTGTCTGTCTCTTCGCGTATTATATGTAAGGTAAGCGCTTTCAGAAGAAACACAGACACAGACACAAATAATCGATTTTGTTTTGGCTTCGCTGACCACAAATACCATCCATTCCAGCCGGCTATTGGTTGATTTGATTCTTTCTCTTCTTTTCTTTCACAATTCTTACTTTAACAATTTCATTTAGACCAACCCATTTATTTATTTCTTTATTTATTTATATTTAATAATTTGACCAACGCTGCAATACAGGCTTGTTGTAGTAATTAGTAACCATCTGGAACCCGCGAACCAATCGTCGGCCCGCTTGCTTTTTTTTGTCTTAGTCAACTTTGTTTAGCCCCTTTAAGAGGAAATTAAGAAAGTGTATTAGATTCAGATTTTAAAGAAATTCTAATGAATTATTTTTCAACAAAAAATTTTATTGGTATTCAATTAAGATTTTAAAAAATTAAAAAAAGATTATATGATATTCGATTAGGATTTTAAAAGATTATTTTTGAATTCGTCCAAATTCGATGATATTCAATCAGAATTTTAAACAAAAAATAATAATTTTGTGATATTCAAAAATTTGACAATTTTAATGAATTTTCTATTAATGTGAATTTCGTGAGATTTTTTAATAAGAAATATAAATAAGATGTCTCTTTCACAATCTCACCATGACTTGTAACAGATTGGTTGAATTTTGGTATATGTTTGTTTGTTTTGTATATTCTCTCTTCATTGAAACTCTCTCTTTCTCTTTTCTCCTAATTTTGAGGAACAAAAATAATATAAAAGGTCAATAAATATAAGTTAAGACAAAATAATTTTATTTAAAATAACATAAAATTGTGTTCTCTGAAACCATAAATATTTTTTTCTATAATTTAACTAGTGTAGTACGTGCGATGCACAAAAGAAAAAGATCTAAATTTTTGTCGACGTCTGTCGTTGGTTAATCGCTAAAGGAAAGAATTGTGAGAGTATTTTCTGCTATTTTAGAAGATGAAAGATATTTTGTATTCTCTCCGACCATAAATATTTTTTCCTATAATTTAATATTATACTAAAAAAACAAAATTAAATAAAAGCATGAGAGAAAGTTATTGTTACTTTCCATTAGTAGACGTTGAAAAGGTCAAAAGAAAGGGTCAAGCAAAGAGGAGGATCTCATGTACTAGTCCTAAACTACCATATCCATATCCTTTTAAACTGAGAATTCACTGTGTTGGTGGGGCTTCCGTGTTCCGAAAGGAAGTGTTAGTTTATTTTTCTGACTGGTCTATTTTTTTCTCTTTTATTTTTTTTTGGGTCAAGTAACTCAAGTTCAAATGAAGTCTAAAACCAAAAGTTCTGCAATAGCTTACAGGACTTGTATTTGATGTAGATTTGGCTTCTCTCTTGTTTTTAAGAAAAACAAAAATCCCTTTATAGTATGTATACAACTGGCTTTTTGGAGAGGTCAAAGGTTAGGGATGAGTTGGCAATCACACCAGTAACAAACATTCATACATGTGCATCTGGCATTCTTTCCAACATCCAACGAGGCCACGTTAAGCCATTAGATTGGCTAATTATAAATCCAAGCAATTAATTATGGGAAAAGTATTTGTCCACTTATTAGAGATAAAGTTATATTTAGTAAGCTCAAAACGACGTCATTTTGTGTTATAAAATTACAAAATTATAATGATAAATACTAATATAATACTGCAATATATTAAAATTATAAAAATACTTTAATTTTCGTCACAAAATGACGTCGTTTTGAACTCATTAAAAATAATTTTATCTCCAGTTACTAGAGAAATCGTTTACCATTAATTATTAGTAGTTTAGTCATTACCAACTCGATAACATTTTAATCAGTCACAATTTATTTCAATTATATGACAAATCTGATTTATTTCAATTATATTACAAATTATTTTTTCTGCAACATAACTCTTATAAAATCCTATAATATAATGTTTTATACCGTTAAACTGATCAACTCTCTCCAACTTATTTTGAGATAATTGTTGTTTGACACTACGCAGTAATTTTCATAATTACGTAAAATAAAAAATATTTATCATTCTAAATGATATAACTTTGTATCATTTAAAAAGAAACGACGTCATTTTGGTGAATAATTATTGATTTTTTAAATTCTCTCTACCCTATTTTCTTTCTCTTCCTAATTTTATGGATGAGAGAGAATGTAAAAAATCATTAAATATTAATCAAAATGATATTGTTTCATCTAAAATGACTCAAAAATATATCATTTAAAATAAGAAACGTTTTTTCATTTGAAAGTCATAAAATCATAATAATCTATCGATCTCATTCTTAAAAAATAAAACTATAATAATAATAATAATTTATTTTATTTAATTCCAACTTGAAAGGATGCATAAATACCACGCGATGCATGGATGTGGCTCAAATTCCAAGTGGTGCTTACAAATACAGCTTGCAAATTTAACAATATAAGTTGAAGTACTGTTCATATAAAAATTTAACTTTAATCTTACGTCAATTGGACAATAGTTTTAAAAAAAAAAATACAATGATATAAATTCATTAGCCAACCGGAACGTGATCAAGTCTATATATTAAATAACTTTAAAATATTAGAAAATATAAAATTTAATAATTAAGAAAATTTTAAATTTGTAATTGGCTTTAATATGTTTTCACAGTGAACAAAGATAAGTTATGTACATTCACTTTTAAAATGATATCGTTTTTGGTTGAAAGATTAAGATTTATAATAAAAAAGACTAATATATCCTTGAATTAAATTATAATTATAAAAATACCATAATTTTCGTCTCAAAATAATGTATTTTGAGCTCAATGTAAATAATTTATCTACACTACAGAAAAAATAAATGCTTACTAATTACTATGATAGATTGATGATTGCCATTTTTAAAATGAGTGGTTAAATATTTTAATAAATTATAATTTCATAATAAGATTTTTAAACTTTTATTAAAAACAATTAGCGGTCAATTAAATGTTTAATGAAAAGAAAACCATGATTTAGAATAACTGCCTTGTTAATTAGTACAAGGCTAAGCATGATGGGGGAAGCTAGAGACCAACCATACCTTCCGGCGAGTAGCGACTAGCGACTAGCGACCCGCCCTTAATGGCAATAATTGCTTTGTTTTTGTTGTTCTTCTTTGATTAATTCTGACACGTTTAATTGACTATTTGATGTTTGACATGCTGGTGATAAGATTTTGAAAATTCAAAAGCTTTAGTTGAAAACAAGATTTTGAAAATAAATTTATGGAAAAAATAATTTTGCCATATCAGTAAAATATTATCCGGATTGGTTTGTCTATATGTATTACAGTTTAGTTAAACCAAGATACGTACGTTTAATGAATAATAAAACATGTCATCCACATCAAATTTAGAGGATTTTTATAAAAGCATTTCATATAACATATATAAAATAAATTAAACCAAGTAAATGTAAAAAATATTCGTGTGAAAAATATTTCATATTTTTAGTGATACTTTTTACATAAAGAAAAAGTATTTATCATTTTAAATGACATAATTTTATGTCATTTTAAATGAAACGATGTTGTTTTGATGGATAATTATTGATTTTTTATATTCTCTCTCCTCTACTTTCTCTCTTCTTCTTCCTAATTTTATGAAGAATGGATAATATAAAAAATCATCCAATATAAATAAAGAAAAAAGTATTTATCATTTTAAATGATATAATTATGTGTCATTTTAGATGGAACGACGTCATTTTGGTAAATAATTGATTTTTTATATTCTTTTTCCTCTATTTTCTCTTTCTTTCTAATTTTATGGAGGAAAGATAATGTAAAAAATTATCAAATATAAACCAAAACAATATTTTTTTCATCTAAAATAATACAAAATCATATCATGACAAATATTTTTCATAAATAAATAAGAGATTTGGTGGGATCATCTATCTTTTTGGTCAAAACTGCCGCTTCAGTTTTTTTTTTAATCATTATTGGAGAAAAGAAGAGGAAGTGTGAAAATAATGATTTATGGTTGATTAATCCAACAATGGTCAAATCAATAATCGTTAAATATATAATATTTTTGTATATAATATATTAAATAATAAATATATATAGCAAGATTGTTGAATTACAATACGTAGTGTATAATTTGGTCAATTTTTTATATCGTGTATCGTATATTATATCGAATCATACAATATAGAAATATATTAAAAAATAATTTAAAAATATATAATATAATTAATATAATATAAATCAAAATTCCCAAAAAAAATCAATAAGCAAAATACATAAGTAATTAAAGTGCAAACTATTTATTCTCCTACTTATCAATCATTAAGATTAATATTATCATTACTATCAATATCAGCATCTATTAGTAATATAACCAATTCATAATCATCTTCCAAAAATGATCCTTTTAGATTTTTTTAATTTAAATCGCAAATCAAATATTTATTTTTTATTAAAAATTACAATTTTTTATTTAATTTTCGTTTCGTATCGTGATATACAGTATCGTATCGTTCGATACAAATCTCTTTTTGATACATCCCATTATGCGTATCGCTGAACTTGTGAATCATATCGTATCGTATGAATCGTATCGTGTATCCTAATATAGTGATAATTATGATATATAGTAATTAAGTAATGTATATTGTGTTATTTTAATAACAATAGTATGTTAAATATTTGCTTATATTTAGCTATTGAAAATTTAATTATTAAATTTATTCTAAAGCGTATTGTTTTGTCTTAAATCGACACTGAATTCAGGTTAACAGTTTTCGTTAATCAAAATAACGTCATCAGTGAAAATGCTAACATTAAAGTATTTAAGCTTAAATTAAAATTTCTTTTTTAATACAGCATAGGGCCGAAGCCCAAGGAAAGAAAAAGAAAAAACCTACAAAATATTACAATAATCAGAAGCTAACTTAACAAGTAGCCCCGATGGATCTTCATAATATATTGCAAACTCAGCAGAATTGTGAAATGTTAATATCCAA